TTTTTTCATCTGCAGGAAGAACCAGTTCTGCCCTTTTCTTAATTACCTTGCCATAAAATATGGCCGTGCTCACTGATGTAATGTTACCTGTATTCATATTTAATCAAAAGTAAAATTGCCATTTCAATTTGATTATATCCATAATACAAATGCAATTAACATATGACTAATCAACATTATATCACTAGTTTTAATGTTGTTATTGTTACAGCTTAACAGATTGCAGCTGACCTTGCTAGCTAGCTAAACTATTGTAATAATGTCATTCCACTATTGCACAGTGTTGCCGCTTGGCAACACATACATTTGAATGATTTACCAAAAACTAATTTTATAAAAACTTTTTTGAGAGGTGAATATGTCATCATAACATCATAACAGTGATGTTTTAGATTTTTTTGTAGAAGTGACACGGACTGGTCCTTGTTTGTTACTGACGTTTGTTACTGACGACAAGAGACGGCAGTCTGTCAGAAATCTCGCCACAGAAAAAAAACTGTATGTCATGTGACTTAATCAAAGCACATCATTGGCTAAACTAAGGTCTTCTCTTTTCAACAAAAAAAAAACGAGAATGTTCTCTTAAAGAGACAGTGGCAAGGAAATGGACACAAAGAGTATGTTGCCATATGGCTACACCATGCGGTAGAGGGTTAACATTCTATAAATAGACAAACAGCTCTGCTGTTCTTGACACCTCTGTCCTTCAAATTCAATCATGTCTCTTAAGTTGTTGTTGTTTTTTTCAGTTAGTGGTCTTACTTTTTTAATAAAATGGCTATATGCACACAATTATTATTATCGTTATTATTATTATATGTAAAGGGGGTGGAGTGCTGGGAGGTTACTATGGAACTTAGGCACTATACTTCAAGTTGAGCCCTGCATGTTCCCCTGTAGGAATCAGCATGGATCAGCAAAATGACATTAGTAAATTAGCTTTTGAGTTAAAACTGAAGAGACAGGAGAAAACCAAAAGCTTAAATAGTTATTTGCAGTTACTCAAGCGTGATAGATGTCCCTATGCATTCCATGAGGTATTTTGAGTCTTTCGGGAATCGAAAGCCAAACTGGTGTAATTACAAAGTAATTACATTGTAATTCCACTGAATTACATGACCACTATAATTTACAGTGTGGAATGAAAAGAACAACAAATTAAAAAAAGTAAATAGATAACTATTTCTTCTCCCTCATATCTATACGTTTCAATCTATGAATCTAAACCATCAAACTGCACTTATTGTTCATAAGAGGCAACACCAGCAGGAGAAGGAAGTAGTGAGTGGGCCTGAATATTCTTGACTCAACTGCAACTTAATTAATCCAGCTTCAGCATTCCATCACTCTCCCTGCCCCCTGTCTGTCATTCATGGGCCCTTCTAAGCAGTCATTACCGTGGCATATCGATCCAAGCTGTGACAAGGTAGCCATCCAAGTGTGTGTGTGTACGGGGGGGGGGTGTTCATAGAGCAAATGTATGGAAATTAAGAAAGTTTGCAACTACTAAGACTTTGATTTTTTTTTTTAAATAACAATTCTACATACCTATTCTTTCTCACTTCATCAAACTCACACACTTTCCCCATTCTTTTCTCCATCTTTCTGCACTTCTCCTTCTCTAAACATGAATTAAGATTCAGGTAAATACCTCTGCATCCAATTCACCTGATTGCCTTTGCTCCCTCAGTGGCAAGACCTTAATAGATGAATATGAAATATTCTAAGCCAATATATATGCTGAACAGTTAAGTGGAGAGGAACACTCATCTGTGCCGCCTTGCCTGAGTAATGAATATAGCCCAGAGAAACTTCTTTCTTCTTGTTTCTCCTCTGGTTTCCTTGGCCTGTATTTTTTTTTCTCTTATCTATACTACATTGTCAACTTTTACAGTTAAAAAATGTAAATTTTCATTCTTACTGGTACTCAAGTTTCTCTTTATGTAAATGGATGACTAATTGCTCCAGCGTAGTGCTAGAAAGAACAATGAACAATGTGACAGTTTATCTTCTGAACGTGACAGTCTCCGTCTTAACAGACATGGGCCACAACACAATGCTGATCATTAGTGAACATGAGCGTGTTGAAAAAATCCAGCCTGCATTATTCATCTGAAGAGAGTAGTACGGAG